ATAATGTCCCCTTTTGATTGGTGACAGTATGGAGGATCAGAATTTGTGATACCACAAAGTTCTTGGATGTTCGGCTCTTCTCCCCGACACAATTTCTCTCCGGAGTAAGTGGCCCCGGGCGTAAACCATACCATTGCCCCTGTTCAACAACGGGCACGAAGCAATCCTCCTGCGAACACTGGTGTGGTGGCGGAACGTTGACCTCATTTCGGGCCCAGCACCGCATCGAAATCCATTTATAGGCACCCAACCACAACACCCATCCGATGGCTAATAGGCAGTTCTATGCTTTGTTTTAACAGAATCTATACGCGCTGAAACGCCCCCAGAGATGAACCGATGAAGCCACGTAGTTAAGGGACTAATCCACAGTGAATAGTTACCCCAAAACAAACTTGTCGGCGGATGTTATCGCGGTAGCTTAAGCGATGGGCGGATCATAAACACTACGGCCCCCGACCAGGTTGGAAGAGGGAAAGACAGACGTCAGTATAGGAGTGTTCTGCCTTCTCTACAGAACGGATGATGCAACTCCAAGAGCAAGTTGGCAGCCTGACGCGGAACGAGCGCCCAACCCTCGGAGCGGCAGGCGTCTGTGAAAGCATCTCCACGTCGGCCTTTGAGTTGACTGACTGGTTTTGACGGGCATGATTTGTCAGATGCGATGAGGACATTACACAAAGCCCAGCTGAATGACTGCTGCTGCGTGTAGGCGCAAATGTGCGTCAGACAGAGATGTAATTATGCAGCAGATGACGGGGGACAGTGCGATTACAATGTCTCCACAGGCGCGCACCGCGTAATTCCATTTCCGCACGATGCCTGCACCCAATTCGTTGACAGACAGAACAAGCAGTACTGATGATTCATCCGTCGCGGACGACGACGACGTCCATCCCAGCTCCACGAAGTAGGTCCAACGGTGACTTGGGTGTGAATTCGGTTAGATCGTGAAACTGGTCTGCGATGCACGTTCCTCACCGCCCTCTCCTCCCACGCCTGCCGCACTCAGCTGGTGGAGAAAAGTCTGGACTGCCCGAGGTTAGCGTACGTACGTCTACGCGTGCCGCACACAACCCGAGGTTACTTTAAATGCACCTAGCGTGATCTTGAACTTCATATCCACAAAAAGCCATATTAAGGACTGTCGTAGCCCGGCCGATAGTCCTGAGGAAGACCGAGTCACACTGTCAGGTGACAATGCCTCAAACCAGGACCAGTGACACTTGTCGTGATTAAGCCAAGCACGTCGACTTTGTTGCGCCGAGGATTCTGTTAATTTCGCCACGGGATAAGTGCCTCCTCAGTATCGGCCTTACTTTTCACTTCCTCCCCAGTGTAATAACGACCTGTTTGAGTCAAACGGGCTGGAAGTGAGACTGGGCGCAGCAGCTGACGTAGCAGGGAGGCCTCCGTCTACGGTGTGCCATACGCCTGAGATTTGCACAGACTCGGTGAAGTTCAATAGACCTGAGTCAGTGTGACGCCGGTCTTAGCCCAACGCCTCCACGGCCCTGCCCGTTGCGAGTACTACCACAACAGTAAGCACCCATTGGCACACGATACCGTTTCGTAGCTTGCTGGTGCAACCGTTGCGGCAGCGTATCAAAGTTAGTTGATCCTAGGACAACCATTCGTATGTCTCAGGACTGAGTTGCAGATGTTTAAGAGAGACATTCTGGATGCCCCTGTATAGCCCCTGTTGTCCATCCCGCCTGCTAGTTCCCATAGTGATTATCATGTCGATGGTTTCGGGGTTCCTTCGGAATCCCCTTTTGGCGCCCCTGAAGTGCCCGGTCCGAAGCTCCAACATTTGTGATTTTACCGTCAGAGGTGTTTTCCCGTCGGAAATGAGCAGCGGCGCATTTCGGATGACTTCAGTACAGTAGACCGATTATATAGACGTGGGGAAACTTTTAATTTCACTGTGGTTTGCTTATCCTTGGCCCTGTTCGGACCCGCGAGTCACCCAAACATTTTAGTCCTTCTCGGCCTTCGCTGCATCAAACATCGCAATCCTTAACGTCAATTGTGTTGCTGGTTTAGGTCATGTATGACCTATTCTTCTCGGAAAGCGAAGAGTGGCTTTTTAGTCGTTGTCGTCGAACCAGTCGCGGTACTGTCCACAAGCGCGACAGAGGACTTACAGAGTGGTGGCGTAGATAATTTCCCACAGTTGCTTCCACTGCTTTTCAATGATGTCATTCTCTTCCGAGATGCGCATTTGGACCCACTTGATATCCATGTGATTTCTAAAATCTAATCGGCGTTCAGTCCTACCCAACAGTGCAATTATCTAGCCTATCTGATGCTTGCATACCTCCTGTTGATCTGTTACAGAGACCATTGGCAATCTATATGTCTGGAGACCGGGTGCGTTCCTTCGCTGCTTCGAAATCCCCAAATTAAGGCTAGTCAGGGAGATGAGACGCAACTACTGCCACCTCTTTCAGGGAAAAGAGATCTGGCGATTTTAGTGATAACTGCGGTAACACGCGCTTTTCAGCACACATGTCAACGTTTTATTGATTTAGTGATACCCTGGAGACCATAAGTCCACTAAATACCGACAAATGTCATGCGAATAATGAGTTGTGCCCAACGAAGCAACAGGAGCATAGCTGGAAGCATGACGGACAATGGCATCGTACAGAATGAGGGCAAATTCTAATGCTTACTTCAGCCAGTCCTTGGCTGGTACGCAAGGAAGGACGCAGATGAGTTTTATGCAATTTGAACACGTAATAAACTCCTACAGACTCGGAACAAAACTGACGCGAGTGCCCTAAACGAGTTTTCATTTTTTTCCTCGATTATCCACTCAAGACAGGGCGACTGACTGCTTTATCCTTCTTCTGTTCTGGGAAGCCTGCGCAGCTATTCCGCAAGACAAAGTGGTACATCCGAAAGACAACTGCCTGTCCGTGGAACTTCAGTGCGTTTCCACGCTGACTTCCTGCCTAAACTACGGCTTAGTCTTTGCCACCGCAGTGCCCGTGGTGGCTCGCGATCATAATTCTCATTCGACAGGCGCAATTATTCGTCCGTCGAACATGATGACAGCACTATCCCAAGTGAGCTGTGGCGTCTTGTTTGCGCATTAAACCAAATGGAGACTTGGGGGTCATCGATGTCGCCCTTTTTGCATCCACTGTATCATAATGGCGAACCTACTGCAAAACTACTGGAGATAGAATTGGGTGCAGCGGCCGAATCGGCGTAAGGTACATGTCTGCGCCTGTTAGGGTGCAGTCGTTCCCCTATCCGTTAATTAGTTCAGGTTTCGGATAAATAAGTAGGCGGAGGAGAGCTCCTGAACTACCTCCACTTGGTTTTACTCACTCATAAAAATGACTACCTAGGTCTTACTGCTGCGTCCACCACAGTTTCTCGGGGCCATCGAGGAGGATTGAGTGGCCGGCGGGGTTAGGATAGAAATAACCACTTAGTACAGCTGAGCACTTGGTGTGACTGTGAATCAACCAGACTACTGCGACGTCCCTGGACACTTCATACGCCCACTTGCCAGAGCTTCCACACTGGCATGATAGCTTTTTGCATGTTATGTACAGTGGGCACACTTATTCCAGGTCCGGCTTACTTTAGGCAGTGAGCTGAATCCACAGTGCATGGCTAGGAGGGAGTTTGGACAAGGTTTCCGATGTCACGGATTGAAACACATGTCTGATGGCACATAACGCAAGTTAAGCGTCCAGGGACTGCGTAGTCTAAGGCGTCAATCTGGTAGTACAAGGTCTGGGGACCGAAAGCCAGACGGGGAACATCAGAAGGGGACGGCGCACGGACGAGCAGAAGAAAAGATGTCTACGCCAACTCGCTTCGCATCAAAGGATCGCATTAGTGCCTAACAGCGCCGAGTGACGTCGCAGCTACTTTGCCGAAAGTCGTTGGTTAGCGAAGTAACGGGATTCGGAGGATTCTGACAGCGAGGTGAGGGGGGAGAGGGACAGAACAAACAGCTCCGACTCGGACATTACTCAGACGTGCATACTGTGAGGGGACCGCGTGCTGCCTGAGCGGTTTCAGGGTGTGGCTTCTGACTGTGATGCACGTAGATTGAACGGAGCGCCGGTGGTTGCAATTTATGGCCAAAACCATGCCAGATCTGACTGGTCTCAATAAAGTCGCTTCTACTGCCTGTCCGTGTGTCACGACCTGCGTCAGCGAAACTGGCAAGCCCAACGCATTCTTCTTCCCCAACTTCGAAGAACAAGAGTCACCCTGACACCTTGAAATAACGTGTCAGGACAAGTTTCGAGATGATTCTCTCACGTTTATAAAGGCGGCCGATTTAGTGTAACGGCACTGGACTCATGTGCGAAATACGAAGAATCCCTCGAAAACAACTCAGTCGCCTTTCTTAAATGAGTTAGGGTATATTCACGAGGCTGCGGCACCGAATACGGACGGCCTCATTCAAGACTAAGTTGGTGTACTTTACTCGGCGGGCATGTTGGACAACTCGTCATCTACCCGCCAGATACAACCGCAAACGTCGGAGCGCGTAGGTATTTGGTACATGCGGATCGTTGTGACGATTGAGACCCGATGCCGGGTGTTTCACTGGAAAATCCAGCGAGAGTTGATCACTTGAAATGCCGAGATGCAGCATTAACATGATTTCTCATGCTTCGCGCATTCTAAACAAGTCTCTTGAGACAGAAGAGTAAGAGAAGGGAAATCAGACGAACAGCGTCCTTTCCAACAAATCCGTGTAACAGAAATACAAAAACCGCGAGCTATTCTGCCACGACCGCTGACGTGGTGGTGCGTGCGTGTCTGCTAAAAAGTATCCTTGAGATGAGTAAAACCTAAGAATTGCGGGGCAACAGGTGAGGAACCAGAAATGAACGAGCACGACGGAGATAGCTGGGCGCGCTGGAGACTACACGGGCGTCAGAGGTAGAGGACAGTCTAACTGGACGGCGGCGGTGGTGGTCGGAGAGGGGGGGTCCGCTGGCGGAGGTGATGGGGTACTCTCACTGACTGACTACATCCGCAGCGGGTCCCATTAGGAAGCGCTTCCGTACCTCCTCTCGTTGGTCTTCACTCTTTATGTGCCTGAAACAACAGGGCAGGGGGAGAGGACGAAATTTACAGACGTTACGTTTCGTAATAATATGGAAAGGGGAAGTTGGCAGGATAGAACCTACCAGAAGTCGATGAACCTCGCACCCTGGACAAGTTGTGCTGTCTCGTTGGTTATGTGACAGGCAAAGAGAAGCATGTTGCGGGGCTGAACTCGGATCGCGAAGCGCATGAAGAGTGCTGAATAGCAAATAAGGGCTGATCAAGTAAGGGGCAAATATGTTGACGAAATGAGAGCCTACCAAAAGTCATCTTGCCGCTGATGAGCTCCGGATTCTTCTTCAGGTCGCCGAGGGCTGCTAATGGGAGCCCCCAGTTGGCCACAGGGCCCCAAAAGTGCTGTAACAGTAAAGATCGAATATAAACAATGGTTCTGGTACAAACACAAACGTACGTTCTTGTGAACTCGGGAAGACTCATTTTTGCGCCCTTTCAGACAGACACGGGCTTGATTTAGGAGATATTGACAATATGATGGTGCGCGTGAAGCTGCGATTGTAGTGGGGGTTTGTTAACAGTTACATTGCTGTTATGAAGTTGACAGACGCATACGTTTGTCAAAACGACGCCACCGATTAGGCAACAATCGCTGGTGATTCCCACTTGCTTGAAATCGTCAGCTAGTCACAAAACGAAGTAGTTCTGTCCCTTTTATGGTGGCGACATTTGTCATCAAGGGCACATAGAAGGAAGCGTCACACGGGAACGGGAAAGCGGACGCGTAAATTAATGCGATAACGTCACGTATTCAGCTGATGGTATAATAACTTATTGGTCTAGATGATGTTCTGATAGCCTCAACGCGATATTCTTCGCGCCGCTGGCAACGCGTGCTTCCCAGGAATTCTGAACAAAACGGACTACACTGGAAATATAAACCATGCTGTGGATTCAGTCAAAGCACGGATCTCATCGGTTATGAAGAACGAGGCGTTTGCAGACAGCAAATTGCAAGTAAAAAGATGCCTTCAAGTCGCCGAAACAAGTGAAGTGATTTACAGATACCTTCAAGTCTAAACACAGGGATGTCCCGTTGTGACCAATTGTTTCTTAAATTTATTTGCGTAGTCGAAGAATTGATAAGTTGAGATTAGACCAACTTTATCCAATTACCACGAGCCTCGCAACCTCGAGTAAACATTCAATACAGGTTTTTGACAAAATACAAGGAGCTATGACGGCACTAGGTGAGATAATCTGTTTTTTGTTACATCTGAACCACTCTTTTCGGTCGGAAACACTTATGGCGACCGCCTAATCCTAAACCGGGTTTACGGAGGGGGATAAAGATGACCATAAGTGTTTTTACAGTGTTATTATAGTGATGCCCTGAGGAACCTTACCGAGGTCATAACACGAAGAGTCCTGTAGAAACTATGCTCTAGTTTCAAACTCTGCCTAGAAGGTGCAACGAATTAAAAGGCGCCCTTATGGGTTCGCCTAGACCCACTTTTATCAAAAAACACCATAATATCGAAATTAGCATTCACAGCCCTTCGGTAGTTTAGACGAAAATTGTGGTTGCGCCATGTAAACGATACAATTTTCGACATACAGCCCCAGGGCCGTTGTCCTGTCGGTTGCGATTGAGAATATCAACTGCGTCGGAGGTGAGTTCGCCGAATCGGGTTACGGGACCTGCTCGCCGTCTTGTGCCTTGAGGCTCACTGTAGAACTCCCGCAGGCACTAGCACAGAGACTAATAGTAAGTACAGAAGGAGAATACCGACGAAGACAAGGGAGGCCTACAATGGACCTCAAGACACAACGGGATGAGCAGGTCCTGTAACCCGATCGGTACACGCCCCTCAGACAATTGTCGTTGTCAAAGAGTAAACTGAAAGCGTTCCTATAATTGTAACTTCGATTTTTCCGGAATTAAGGTTACACTCGAATAGGGATTTCAGATAGCAACGAGTGATCTAACAGTGAATCGTTTCGTTCAAAGGTGGGGTTACGATGTACACACAAACATGAAAGAAAATGCGTGAGCATAAGTGGACTCCCGTGTGTGACTGAGAGCAAGCATGTCGACTGGAGCCGCCAAATATGAAGGCCACATCAGGGGGAACTCGAGATGAGTGGCTAGTTGAATTGGCCCATCGTCGAAGTGCTCGCCCATTAGGAAAGTTTTAAGTCAGAGGAAGATAGGAAGAATAAAGAGCGCGCCGACACGAAACCAATAACATTTCTGGGGACAACTTTCATTACTGCCTTCGTAGACTAAAGTAAGCAACTGACAAGTAAGGGTAACTGATGTGGCATGAGAAGAGACAGAGTTCCCGAATTAACGCTGACTGAAAAAACTTCTAAACGACTGGTTCGCGGTCTAAAAAAACACGTGCCAGCGAAATCTGCACAGTTTACGCGGTTAAATGGGATCGTGAAAGTGATTTTTTTGTAGAGAAATGACTGCTAAGTCTAATCTTCTAATTCATGCAGCAATACCGACTGGGGGAGGCGTTGCACACTCCAAACTCAGCCACGAGGTCATCGCATTGACAGATGCCAATGGTTACGACAGAACTCACGCGAAGAGCGCGGATAATATCGAAGAGTAACCAATATCCATGTTATTGTGACGATAAATTTGAACTCCACAAGAGGGCTTGCACAATAATCCAAACATGTTTTGTTTGAGTGTTGGGTCTCAGTTTTAGATAAGATGTGGCTACTGTGATGTCCCAATGGTGCGCCCCTCGGTGTGTGGTTATTTCTTAGAGGAACCCGGACGGTCCTGGACATCAACCTGGCCGATAATCTCCTTAACACCAGAGGACAGCAGCCCTGGCAACTGCTATCCAGGGACATTTCAAACCACCTACTACACCAAATTTGGTTTTTAATCTGGAAACTGTCGGGGGTGGAATGCGTCACTTTATGCACAACTGTATACTTACAGAGAGTAGGATCACAACGGAAAACGGTTGACAGATTTTCTGGTTTTTCCAAACAAGCATTGTCGTCTCGACAACTACTGCAAAACCTTTGTCAACAGAAGCAGACCAACAAAGAAGTGATATGACAGAGGCAAAAGCCTTTTGGGGGCCATTAATGTCTTTAATTAACACACCCAGAAAAACAACATTCTCGATCGCAGAAATAGATATATGCATCCGCATCATGCAGATAATCCACGTACTAGCTCGTCAGCATCATCAAGCCGAAGTTCACCTACACATCGCGGTCCATCTGGAGTCTGCTTGCTCTGAGAAGCCAAACCAACGAGTGGGCGCCTGTCTGTCCCTATGTAACTAAATGTCCTACCAATCTCAATAGAGACTGAAAACGCCAACGAACTTCGATCCGAAGGTCCCGGAAATTCATTGGTTGAACAATCTATGGACCCTCTGTGCGCTGTGTGTGTATATATGTGTTTTGGGTTGAGGTTGTTGATTGGGATATGGTTGGCTAAATAGGATAGGAATAATTCCGAAAAAGCCGCCGTCTCAATCTCTCAGCGTCTTTGCCAGTCCAGGTCTGTCCTCGTTCGGTTCGTGGCTTAGCGGTCTGGTAGGGCGTTGTCTGTTCGTGACTTCCACTATCTAGGTCAAAGCTCGTTTCATATGGAAAACAAAACGAGTGGGTGTGAACCTATTTCTATGTGAAAATATTCGTTATTTTGATTCGCATTTCGGTTGCCTTGGAAGTTAAAGGCTGAGACCAGACCAGTCAATCCTGATAAAAAAAGAGATCACTTTACAGGTTAAGTGGTCTACGCCTCGGACAGCATACAAGTCATGCCAAGTTTCTGCGATTTCATATCCTTAACTTAGGGTGGGAGATGGCCTCAGAGAAGATTCTTCGCGGAAAATCCGGAAGAATATCTCTAAGTATGGACAGAGAAGTACTGAGATGAAGCGACAGGATACACCTAAAGTTAGTCAACGTTTTACGTTGAAGAGACTTTTGTTTTCGGTAATAAGTTCGTAAACCGTAGCTTAGTTCTTCATCATCTGCCTGGAAGAAAACAAACGGTCCGATATTAATTGCTAATGATCATTTCTGACGAATATTAAGATGATAACTGTTTACGCCAGAATAAGAAACACCGAAAACTTGCATAAAGGTACAGTGGACTAAAAATCGAACCCTATAAACTAGATGAGCGTTACGGTCCCATGTCTGCCTAGAAGGTAACTCTAATGGGAAGGAAGAATTGATTGAACAGGCAATGGTCCAAGAGGATCGAAGTCAATTTTTCCAGCTCACAAAAATCAAACTAAAGAAGTCAGAATAGTAACTTGACATGAGAACAGGACTAACAAAGCACGTGTTTTCTGGAAAAGTGGGAAAATTCTCATGTCAAGTGCACTTGGGTGAAAAATGACCCTCTGTACGAGCAAACTTGTTTTCATATCCAAGAGGAAATAGGCAGGTCTCTCGATATAACCTGAGACAATCGACTTTGCAGAAAACGTCCCCCATACTATATAGGACAATCAAACTTTTTTAATGGCTAGTATACTAGCCATTACATATATGTAATCCCGAAATGTAAAACAAACACCCCTGAAGAGCAGTCCGACTTCTCTCAGCAACCACACAAGTAGTCAGGGCAACATGTGACGTGTCCGGCGAGTGTTCTATTTGGAAAAAAGTGGGCCGATCTCAAGCAGAGGGAGACCTGTTTCTCTAGTTTATAGTAATATTCGGCTCAAGTAATCCGGGCCACTATTAAGATCTCAAAATTGTGCAGCGCAACAACAATTGTTCAAAATTATTAAACAACAAAGCCCACACAGGTAACATTGGCCTTCATTACATTTAGCGCAAGCGAAGTACCGACCCGGAAACTGTATGGATTTGATCAATAATGCTACGCTAATTGTTGGGTGTGTTGACTAAAACCAGAGATAACCTAGTGGTCCTGTTTTGCGCTGACGGTTCATAGAGCCCAAGCGAGAAGTCGCATAACCACATTGGTTATGGGATGTATCCTGTGTTTGCTCACTCCATGGTTTATCACTTTGAAGATAAAACTTAAATTCCATGTATTTAGTACGATAACTGAGCCCTTAGACAATGAAACTCCGCAAAAAGCATCGACTCGGGTGACCATATCATTCTTGTCCTGTCCATCTGGCAGCAACTTCACCCCTGAGATATGAGAAAATACTCACTTTTTCATGCATACAGCTATTAATTATGAAGAACGCCTTTTTCGGGTGGGAAATTCAGCTCGAAAACACTAGTCAACCTAGCGTTCATAGACAAACAGTGATTAAGGGACCTCGACTATCCTGGATACTGCAACGCATGCGAATGTTGCGCGACGCTTTTGGGGATAATATCGACGCAGTCGACACCCGTCAGCTGGTAACCAAGGGAAAACTCGACACGACAAAAACTGCATGGGAACCTTCCGATAATTCAATGACGCATTCGACGGGGGGGAAGACAGAATCCAGTCCTGCTGAATACCAGACCGCATAGCGAACGGTTGGAATTTTCTTGGACTACAAACCCGCGCAGCGGTAAAACGATAGCACGGCGTGCGTAAATAACGCCCAGCCTTGTTACGTAGATTTACAACCCGAGAGGCCAGAAGCATAAGTAGATTTTCAAGACAAAATCAATCTCAGAACCACTATCTAATGCCTGGGAGATATGGGTAGTGGAGGGGTGTGGGGAAAATGAGTGAGGGGTCGCTAGGTCGTAACTCCTAAGGTAGAATCATTTTCAAAACAAAAAACTACGTTTATAACAGAGAAAGCCAACGTTAATTACACTTTTCCGACAGAACCCGAAATTGAAAACGGCGCAATTTTAAGTTTAGCCACAGTCAAGGAGCTTGTAGTGACGCAAAGTTCCACAAGTTTCCTGAAAAATCCCTTAGCTTAAAATAAACCAAATCTGTTCGGTAAAATATCAAATACTAGGGGGCAAACGAAAGGAAAGCATAGGGAGCAGGAGGGAATACTCCATAAAAATCAAAAAATACGAGCTCAGATAAGATAAATTATAAAACTAACGTTTACAATTGCCGAAAATGCATGGTAAATCAGTTAGTTCGAAAAAAAACTAAAATAATACTTTTAAGAAAGTCCGTAAAACCTTGGGTACAAAGGATATTTAACAGAAAGGACCTACATTTTGTATATGCGGTCAGTTAACGGCAACAGACTCCCTACTTACCGTGCTAAATAAATAAAAGTGACAAAAGATCAAGACTAACCTCATGAGATAGTCTCTAAACTCCTTAGTGCGAACATAACGCAATAAACGAGAAGCCATTGCGCTAAAGCAGAACCACTTCGTAGTGCGCGGCCTATCTCCGCTGAACGTGCATTCAAAAAGGGAATTCAAACACCAATCAAACAACTAGACCTTGAAAGGATTTTTCGTTAAACTTAAGAGTTTGTCTTGCCTGTTTAACCTTTTTAACTCGCTTTTTAAGGAATCCAGTCAGATTGTTGATTCCAGTGGCCATCTTAACCATCCTAATCCTTCATTCCCAGTTTCTCCTACAACCATGCTTCTGACCTGCGAGTTGTGTTACCCCATTTTGTCCCTTACCCAGTAATTTTCTCATTTAGCGGGAGCAACTCGGTCGCGTGGTGTGTTTATGTTTGGCTTTGTATCTAGTACACGACCTCCTTACCTCCAGGAGAACACTACCATAGCATGTTTACTTGTAATAGCAGGGAGGGTCCCATTCGCTCATGTGCGCTCTCGTCTCTTGAGCTGTGGTCGTTCTCTTATATGAAAGTGTCTATAATTGGGCATTCGGTATGGTAGCCTTCATTATCATTGGCGCCTTCCCCCCCACTGTGCACATCCTTTAAGGTTTAGCGACTGCGTGAATGCATTTCCCTTGCTGATGGTGGTTTCACAACCTTTCAAGAGAATTCTTGTTCAGTTCAGTTCAGTTTATTGAGGGAAATAGGCGTAAACCTTTGCGTACCCTATTTGCAACGTAAAAAATTTGTGGTGTACAGATAGATGTTCTGGGCTGAAATAGTTCGAACACGCCCATAATGGTGGGACAAAATGAGAAGGAGTTACAGGGGGTGAGCTCGACTTCTCATCGCTCTTGGTCATTTCGGAACATAAATATGTCCAGATTCTTCTTGAAACTTTGTATAGATGGTGACATCACAACATCTGCGGGAAGCTCATTCCATGGTTTGACCACCCGAACCGAGACGGAGAACTTCCGCACATCCAGCCGTGCCTGCTGAGTGCGCAGTTTTAACGGGTGACCTCGGAGGTTGGTCGTGGTAGCAAATTCAAAAAAGTCCTCGAAGGCCAGACTGCAATCCAACCCCTTTACAATGCGGAAGGCTTGCAAGAGATCTCCGCGAAGTTGCCTGTAACTCAAAGGAAAGAGGTTCAGATTTACTAGGCGGGTTGCATAAGGAAAGGAGCTTTGACCCCTAACCATCTTCGTGGCCCTTCTCTGGACTCTTTCGAGGCAGTTTTGATCCACAACAGCCCACGGCCTCCAAGCTTATATGCCGTACTCTAAATGCGGCCGGACGAATGTTCCGAATGTCTTAGAGAAAGCTTCTTCGTCAAAGTCCAAAAACGCACGCTTGATGGCGTACAGTACGGACATTGCGCTTTTTGCCACCCTCGAACAGTGGGCGGATGGTTTTAGGGAACTCGTCGTAAGCACACCGAGGTTCTTTTGGGCTTCGACCTCTTGTAGGGCTGCACCGCCCAGAAAGTAGCCTCTTGTGCTGGCGGATCTGGCTGTGTTGCCTAGGCGAAGTATGCTACATTTGGCAACGTTGAACCGCAGGAGCCAACGGTTTGACCACTCCTCCAACCGATTCAGGTTCATCTGCAGTCTGTCTTCGTCGGCAGGACCCCGAATTACACTCCATATCTTCATGTCATCCGCAAACATTGCTACTTCACAGTCTAAATCTCTTGCGGCATCGTCCACGTAGGCAAGGAACAAAATGGGTCCCAGTACTGAACCCTGGGGGACAACACTTTCGACCATAGCCGGATCTAATTTTCCCCGACCGACGCACACAACCTAGTGTCGACCCACAAGGAAGTTTTCGATCCATTTAAGGAAGTTGCCACCGATCCCTATTTTTTTCAGCTTATGTAAGAGCCTTTGGTGTGGCGCAGTGTCGAAAGCCTTCTGGAAGTCGATGAAGGCTATTTGGACCGCGTGCCTGTCGTCGAGAGCTCGGGTCCAGCTCTGGAGAGATTGCAGCAGGTTTGTCGTGCAGGATCTTCCTTTTCGGAACCCATGTTGGCATTTCGATAGCAGGCCGTGAACTTCCAGGAATTGCATCAGTTCAGTCTTCGTGATCCCTTCCATAACTTTGCAGAGAATGCATGTCAAGCTTATGGGCCGGTAATTTGTCGTCGCTGCCCTGTTACCTCCTTTGTGTAGCGGAATAATATGCGCCAGCTTCCAATCGACAGGAAGTGTTCCAGTGTCAAATGACGTTTGAAAGAGCATCGACAAAGGCACAGAGAGCTCACGGGCAAGTTCCTTCAGAAGCTTGGGTATACGATATTTATATTCTGCAATCGCGGTGATACTTATAGGCAGCCAATTTAAGCAGTTCACGGGGCTAGCAAGTTGGTATCAAACTCATACAGAAGCTTCTAGAAAAAGTTTTCTACGTGGCCAACTGGCTTCTGTTTCTTGCGTTGGAACTAGCGGACTCAGACTCGTTATGATAATCATCTAGGTGGTGTGTCCAAAATACAGGGCAAAATTCCGAGACTGTATCCATATATGTAGGAAAATAGTGAAATTATTTTTATGCTGATAAGCGACGACTGGCCTGCACGAGCACTGAGGAGAACCTGGCTCTTCCTTGTTTTTCCAATTCGTCAGGACATCTTTATTTGCACACCTAATTTTAGCCGAAAACACATTCTCACATGAGGGAATGCATCAATCAAGTCAACCAGTCAACATATATCTTGTCTGAAGCCGAAATCAACTTTGAGGCCTTCCTAACCTTCTGGTTGCGGATTCAGTTAGCCCTCAATATAGCGGTCCAGTCATAGTCTAAAGCTAGCTGGCCTCTCGGGATGCATCAAAAAAATGTATCCATAAATTTCTAACAAATCTCGAAGTTGCCTACAATAGGCGGTAGTGATGTCAGTATCACTACTGTAGCTTACAATACCACTTGTTGTCTCTCCTAGAACCAAAGTTCCATATCCGCTTGAATTCCTTAAAGAAGGGTCCTGCCTCATGGAAGTTCTGATTTCAAAGACGATCTTCCTCTGGAGACTCAGGCCCTGCAGTGAGGTCTAATAGGCCTTTCTGGACATCGGCCGGGCTTCTGATTCAGTCACCCACCGAACTCAACTGAGTCAACATCATTTTTTCTTTCCACACTCACCGCATTACAATGTCAAGACAAAGATCAGACGACTGGGAATGTTGAGGACGCCGTGACATACAAAACGAAACAGCCCGCCTACGTGTATCATACAAAACCGGGTTCTTAACTTCACACGTTTTTTTATGTCCCACCTTTGCATCCGATGATGTCCACTGTATGCTCCACAGCAGCGTGAGAACAGGGACGGTGACTTGCGCGTGATTTATAGTGAGAGCAGCGTTGCGCTGCATCTACCACACTCTCTTCTTCTCCCCCACCTAGACCCGGTGTCAAGACAGCCTCAAAAAGACCGGAGACGGGGGAGGGCGCAAGTGGATGGTGCGGTCGAGTCCGCACCTTGGCGTCCCACTCCACAACTTCTGGTCCACACAACAAATGACCAGGATTTTGACCAACAACAAAGAGAATGGAGGCTGGCACGGCCGAAGCCGCACTTAGGCGTGCCGTCCACAACCGGCTCGGATCGCACACGGTGTAAGTGCCACAAAGGTCACCTTAAGAAGGAGCCACTGCAGCCTGACTCTCAGACCACCAGCCGGCCACTCCACACCAGTACACACAACACTGGGCCGATTGCGAGGTCCGAGTTATCCAGTCAGTTGGCAACCTTCCAATCCACGGCTTTTAGCGCACCGTGATAGCTTCAAACGCGTCAGATTGTTTATAGTGAAGAAAATGTACTGAGTCGTCAGCCTCACTCTCCACTTCCATTCCCCTGCCTCAGCCACTGAATAGAATAGAATAGGTTTATTATAGCGCCCCTTGGGTACTATCAGTCTCCTTTGAACACAGGAAAAAAACTTAAACAAACTCATCCCTTTCGATTGGACTTTTATTTCATTTGTTCTGGGTGTCTGTTTAGCCAATAGAGCGCGAATTGAGAGTTTGTTTTAAGTTAAAAAACTGAGTTCCAAGGAAAAAATAATCGCAAATGTTTTAAGAAGGAACGATATGTACAATATAAAAACGGAAGTGTGCAGTTTGGTAGTTTCTGGGGAACACGAATAATACGTACTTCATGGAAATTGAAGAACTTTGATATCGGCCTGTCCTTGAAAGTATTTTCTAGTTGGGTTACTTTGGGTGTTTGCTAGTTGGTGGTTGTCAGTCTATCTGGCCAGCTGTAACGGGGCGGTCGCACATTTCCTTCGTGTTTTTCAGGAGGCTTGCCATAATCGTCCGGACTAAGAGCTGGAAAAGATGAATATATGTCAGGAGTGAGAAACATTCAATGGTAAGTCACAATAAAAGCTGTCAAAATAATATTGAATCATGTATCATACTGTTCTTGTGAATGGGACATTATAGGAGTAGTGGTCAACTGCTTACTATGATCTACCCTAATAACAATCACCTGCGAATCGAGACTCGCTGCTCGGGTCTCGCTCGCAACTGGCCTCTGATTGCTTGACCGCAGTCGTAGCGACAGGCTTCCCACGGCGCGCACGAGTAAACGTACACTGATAGGCTATCGATTTTTATCGATGGATTTTATAATATAGTAGTATATATGTTTAATTTGGCCTTAATATAGACTTACGTACAACTTATATGCAGGGTTTTCTCGAAAGGGATGTTATTATTAGCTCCTTAAGTGATATTTAGTGCCAGGTGACAGCTGATAGAAACGATAAAGGAAGGGAAGAAAGGATATCACTGTCTGTTCTATGTTTATCAATGATGCTGTCTTTCATAAATTTGATTGTTTTCAGTGCTATGTTCCGGTGTTATTCAAGCGGCTGGTTCATCGGAGCCCTTTCGGACCAAATTCTATATCAAAGAAGTGACTTGAAAAATGTTCTATCTTATTCAAAAATAAATGTGTATTGTTATTTGAAAGGAATTTCTTAGTTCATATTTTAAACTAGATTAGGGTTCGACTTTTCTGGATAGAACTTGCAAGAGCATTCGAGCTAGTGGCATATCTTATGGAGTAGAAATTTGACCGTTGGGACTTTGTGAATTTGGGGATCCTTATAATATCTTCGTTATTTCTGGTGTTTCTGGGGCGTTTTGGTTTGTTAGTAAATTCATTTCGAGAATAGCTCGGTCATGGGTGACCTTGAATAGGAAGTTTAGACCATTTTGGAGTCTTCTTATCCAGAGGGGTCGAAGACCGTATTTATGATATAGTTCTAAGTATGAACTCTGGGTGTCATCACTTCTGGACAAAGATCTAGTAAAACGTCTCTGAATGCCTTCTAGTTTCTTTCGGCCGTTTGAGGACATTATGCCGAAGAAAAGTGAGCAAGGTCAAGGTCGAACCGCTGGTTTTAAATTTGAAGATAGGTGGAGGGTATTATTTTAAGTGGTTTCATATGAGACCTAACGTTTTTAGCCCCTGTTTTTGGTTAAATTTCCTTAAATACAGGCCTATTCATTCATAACAACCTGTTGCCATCTCCTTTTCGAGTTCTGCTTGTCTATGCCTGTTGATCACCAGTCGCACTCTGCAATTCCCATTCTGTGCATTCGATTTCTCTCTAACTGTGTAATTTATTTTTACATTGTTAGCCCCTAGCTGAAATTCAGTCACCTTGTCTGCCAGAAGCTTTCTGAATCACAACTTGCCTCGAAACAAGATGAGAGAAAAAGTTACAGGTCGGCGTAAGCTCTCGGCCTCTGTAAGTAAGCATGGCTTAATTAAACCTAAGTCCGAAGTCTTAACTAAATCTAAGTCAGATGGTATTACTAGTCAGTCGTCATCCGTTGTAATTGGGCGGCAGCTTAATCTGTCTGCACTTGACTTTGTGCTAAAGTTTGGAACTTTGCTGTCAGTTCTTGGAAATTTATTCGACGGGAACATCTCCGATATTCCCTCTGAAGAATAAAGGCGTCTCGACTCACTTGTTCACCTGATCGCCAGTGAATCTAGTGATAGACAAAAGCGTTCTTACAAGTTTCTGTTAAAAAATGTTCCTTAATCTGCTCGGCCAATTGCTGTTACGACCAATTTTTGTATTCATGTTGTTTCAACTACAAAATAGCCGACGCTAAACGCTTGTCCTCCCGTAGCAAAAATTCAGCCATCTTAGTCAAATTATTTTAATCAATCGAGGTTGACACAATCTTTGCCCATCGGGATCGTGTCACTGCGTACCTGTAGAATGCAAAATTTTCCTTTGTCATGATCTTACTCCTATGGAGCCTAGAATCAGGTCTCTATTCTCAAGTTAACCCACTGCTTCTCAGTCTAATGCTCACCAACTCGGTCATAATACAAGTGGCCGTGAGAATTCAACTTGTCCTACTTCTGCGACGTCTGACTCCCTCCTTCCCCTTTCTCCTACATCTCCATTTCACTCAAGTCACTTGACGCATTTGCCTGCCCCTAACCTAGCAACAGCAGCAGCAGCAGCCCCAGTTGTCGTTCCTAATACTCCGGATAGCCCCGCTGGGTACATGAAAATCCGTCTACATCAGCTAGACCGATAACTTCCCCTGTTCAACTGGGTGCTGCAAGCTCTACAGTTAAGTCACCCGTGGCTTGGCGTCAGAACGGCGAGACTCGAAAACTGAATCAGACTCCGACCCAAAAGAAAGGTGGTACAGTTCCATTTAGGGGTATGCCACCTTCTCTTAGATCATCCAAGTCTTTTCAGCCCAGCACGTCGACAAACAA